TCAGATGAAAATATAGATTTAATTGAAAGAGTAAAGCAAAGTGAAGAGAGATATACAGGTATCCTCTAGTCACCTGTATATAATTTTTAGCCTCTAGCACAAGTTATAGTATATTTTATTTTGGTTTTAAATTTCTTGTCAAGACTCTCACACTTAATAATAAATCGTGACTCTGTATAATTAGAAGTTTTTGCCTAATTAGCAGGTTTTCTGATATGGAAGTGATAAACATTGCTGATCTTTTGAAGATGTATGCCGAATTTCCCACTTTTTGTTGAAAGTTATGACCAAAAATATCAAAGGGAAAAAATACTGTATTTGTGAGAGCTCAAGATAATAAAAGTGTTTTTAGTTGTTCTTCATAAAACTAAAAAACTTTAGACACTTGAGTTAGGAATTTTTCACTACTCTGTTACCAAAATAATTCTTTGGCTTGGATGCTAAATGTGCAAGGGAGTCCACCAAGAAGAAAGCTTGACCCAGAACATAAACCAACTATATACATTCCGCTCCTCAGTGTTTTACATATAAGTCTTTATCAACAACAATACTAATAAGAAACCTCAGATATCTTTAAACTTTTTAGAGCCTTGAATCTTCAAACTGTTTTGGTGTGGTCTTGATTCAAGTGATCATTGGAAAGAGTTGTAAACACTTTTGTTGAAAGCTTTTTAAATTTTAAAAATCAACTTTTTTATATTAACTTATTATATTTTTTATATTAAATATTTATGTAACTATTGTAGAAATAGCAATTTCCTTATAAAATTATTGGTTAAGATTATTATAAAATCTTTTTAAAATTGTTTAAGATTTTTTTAGAATTTTTTATTATTATAAAATTATTATAAGATTATTATGAAAACAGTATTATAAGATTATTATAAGATATAATTTAATAATTTATTATAATCTTTTAAGATTATAATAATCAATGAAAAAATTAGCTAGTTTCTGTAAAGTAATTATATGATAAACTCTATTTAGCACTAATACTGCCATAATTATTGCCATAATCATTGTCATATTTTGCCTTAGCAATTTTGACCAATTCTGCCAAATCACCACTTCGATCACACATTCCACGAAACATTGAGTCTGGCTTTTGGAGGAGAATATATGGATGATCAAACTCCACAATTCTTCCAGCATCTATTATAATTACATAATTGTAAATAAGTCCATAAAAACAAACTATAAATATTTGAATAAGACCAAATGATACTTACCCAACACTAAAATTTTGTCATAATCTACAATGGTTCTTAAACGATGTGCAATACATAGTAGAGTTGCGTCGCTAAACTCTTCACGTATTGTTTTTTGAATCATACGGTCTGTCTCAAAATCTACACTAGCTGTTGCTTCGTCCATAATAATCAACTTAGATTTACGAAGCAATGCCCTCGCGAGTGCAATCAGCTGCCGTTGACCTTGACTATAATTGTTACCATTTTCACTAACGGGTTCGTCGAGAGTCCATGTTATTTGACTTTGTGGTTGTTCGTTCTGTGATAATTTGCTATCATTACTAGTGCCTGAATCTGTAGTTGCATCATCGATTAGATGAGCTCTTCGAAGTGAATTCCATAATTCAGCATCATTGTGTTCATCAAAAAAATCCAAATTGCTCCTATACATTTATGCCAATTTAATTAACAAATCATAAAAAATGAGAAATAAATATATGATTTAAGCGTAATTAGCAGCCTTTCTAAAATAAACGAGTTATCAATGAAAAAAAATGTTACCTCAACGTTCCGCTGAATAACACCGGATCTTGAGGTATTATAGTAAGCCTACTCCTTAAATCGAATAGACCAATAGTCGAAATATCTATACCATCAATAATTATTTGACCAGAAATTGGTTCCATAAACCTAAAAAAAGATGTGGCCAATGTGGATTTCCCAGACCCTAAGAATACAGTGAATCATTTCATTTAATGGATTCCGAGTGTAGTAAATTCATGCAAATAATTTATACAATGTCAGAACCCGAACAATGCATAGTAAGTTTATATTAGGTTTAATATAAAATTTTTTCCAAATTTTAACCAAAACCTGCAACTCTGGCTGGTTGAAACTTATTTTAAACAATTATAATAGCAGGAAAGTGGATAATGTAGTAACATAACCTTTAACTGCATTATTCGGGTCCTATTTAAATATGTTAATGTGTAAGTTTACCAGTTCTACCAACAACTCCAATCTTTTCGGCAGGTTGAACGTGGAATGAAATATCTTTTAATACCGGGGGGTTATCAGGTGCATATTGCATAACGAGATTTTTAACTTGAATATCTCCTCCTGAAGGCCACTCCTGTGGTGGGCGATGGCCTTCGATAATTCTTGGTGGTTCTTCTTCCAATAACAGGTAATCTTGGATTCTCTCAACTAGAAAATTCAATAGAACAAGGAATTAGAATATGAAAAAAAAAGTAAATATAAAACAATAGAACTTACTTGAATTCATATTCAACTCCTGCATGGCATACAAACGAATAACCCAAATTAAATGTTCGGTGAAATTTAAAGCAATTATCAATGCGAAACCTGCTAAACCAGGATCCATTCCTTTGGAAAGATTAAATATAATAATAAAAGCAGTGGAAAGTCCAACTAGACCACCTACAAAATCAATACGAGCATGAAGCCATCGATTGCATGCCCAATTGAATATGTAAGGCCGATTATTATCATCTACGAGTCGCAACATTCTTTTCATCAATCTTTTTTCGGCACCAAATGCTCTGATAGTAGATACGCCTATTATGGTCTTTATACATTAAAATATATGGATATGTAATAAGCAAACTATACATTAAAATCTAAATCAAGAAAGTAAAGTATTTACTTCGCCAAATGCTGCATATATTGGAGACCTACTAACAGATTCCAGGCCTAAATAATCATATGTAAATAAATTTTTGTAAAAAGATAACTGAAAATGATGTATAAATAGCCGGATATCTTACGTTTTAAATCTCTGGATACAGCAATATAATATGCTCCAATAACTATAAACATTGCTGAAATGAAAACACCAGCTATTAAGAATTGAGGCATTACAATTGAAACGACAATAATCACTGACGTGATAGAAATGCACGAATTAAGAAAACCAAAAGTAATATAGCCCATGATCTGGTCAACTGTTTCCATATCTTTAGAGAATCGATTCATTATTCTTCCTTCAAAAGTTTAACATATTATTAAGTACGTAAAGTACATGAAATCAATTTAAAATAAATATACGCATATTACCTATTGGTGTTGTGTCATAAAATCTAAGTGTTGCTGATAACACCTTATCTAACATATCACTATGTAACTTCTTAGAAGCCATTAGAGAACCAACTAACATGTAATATACTTTGAAAGTCGTTAATATGGCGAGCGCCAGTCCAATTAATGCAAAAACCAAAATATAATAGTCAATGTTAATGGGTTGAGGGGTCTCTTCTAATATATTTACTGATGGATTGATTGAATAATGATTTAGGGAAGGGGACGAAACATAAAATAATGCCAAGTTATTCGTAGTGTGGTGCAAATTATCTAGTAAGGGAGAAGTTAAACTCCATATAGTCGTAGCAAATTGATGGATTTGATTGTAAACATCGTTATAAGCATTGGTCCACACTTGAATCCACCATTCTGAATAAAAGTCATAAGAACTATTAATAATATTATATTAATGTGTTACTCAGCTAAATGTAAAGCTAAAAAAAACAACCTGCACCAACGGAAATAATCTCCGCAACTACAAGCATAAGAAGAAATGATAACCAATACCAAAATCCGCCGGATACTACCAAATAGAGTTTGTAATCTTTCCATCCAACCATACCGACAGCTCTTGTTTCCTCAGAAATCAGTCGTCCATCGCCTTCACGAATATTTTTATTGCTTTTCTGAGATTTCACATCCATAGCATCCTCAACAGAGGACCTTAACTCTTCACCTTCAAAAGTCACACCGTCCAATAGTCCTTTAGCTAAAATTTCTTCTACGGACCCTTCAACTAATATTTGACCATCTTTCATAACTACAACTTTAGCAGCACCACGAAGACATAATCCTACGTGATGTGTAACAAGAATACGGGTACGGTCTTTCATTAAATCACCCATCAAACACTGTTCAAATATATGTTTAGCGGTGTGCGAATCAACAGCTGTATAAAATATATGTCAGAATGTCAATATGTATATTGTATGTTAAATATTATAGATTTACCAGATAAGCAATCGTCTAAAATTATTATTTTAGCTTGGGAGTAAACGGCTCTGGCCAAAGCGACACCTTTAATGAAAAGTACAATAAAGTAACATAAATAAAATCAAACCCACACAGTTTATTAGAAGTCATAATTTTAATCTTAAAAAATTTCAAATTAGACACATGATTTTAGTTAATTCTTACGTTGTTTTTGACCACCACTAAGCGTTATTCCCTTTTCACCGATTTCTGTTTTATCCCCAAATTCAAGAATTTCCAGATCTTTATTGAGGGCGCAAACACGTAAAACCTCTGAATAAATTTCGTGATCAAATGGAAGGCCAAATAGAATATTATCTCTAATAGAAGCATTCTGGAGCCACGCTAATAAGTTTTTTTTTTCTTTATCAGCAAAAGAATTTATATATATGTATTTTGCAAACATATAAGGAAATGAAATAACCTGTTTGAGAAACGTAAGCAATACCACTCGGCGCACCTCCCAATTTATTCGGAGATTCTATATTCGTCCTAGGCAAGAACACATGGCCGTCTAAACATTCCATTTCTCCTAATAATGCCATCAATAAGCTTGTTTTTCCACAACCCGTGGGCCCGCAGATTATTGACAATTCGTTGACAGGGAAAGATACATTCAAATTTATCAAAGTGAATTTATTCGATGGATTTGACGTGTTTAAGTCTACAGAAACGGAAGAATTATCTATAGAATCTTCACCATCTGGCCATCGGAAAGTTGCGTTTTTAAATCCGATATAAGGATCATTAATACTTGTGATAGGATTTTTGCGATTAAGTTCTGGTTCGTTTAAAAACTTTTCAACACGAGAAACTGAAACTCGAGCTGCATAAATTATAAGTGTTGGTGCATATTTGTTAAATTTTGAAGTTTAAAAGGTCTAATACAGAACACACCTTGAATAATGGACATAATCATTGATGGCATTTGGTTAAGGGCATATTGAAGATTATATAATAGCGCAAGGGCAGTAAATGCAACAGAAGCAGTCAACTCCTTTTAACAAAAATTTATTATATATTAATACAGCTTGATACGACAAATAATTATACAAAAATCGATACTTACGTTGCCTAATAATTTTGTATACGTAATGAATACAGACAACATGACTAGAAGAGGTAAAGCCGTCCAAAGACAGGTCATATAAACCAATTCCATTAACCGATTTTTGATTTCCTTTAACTCGTTGTCACGAGCGTTCATAACCTTCGCGCGAAAGTGGTCTTCCCATGCAAAAAATTTAATAATACGAATGGCTTGTAGTAACTATTAATAAAAGTAATTATGCCTTAATTTTGTGACGAGAGCCAAAATTATCAAGCTTGAAAAGTATGATATAGCTATTACCTCGTTAATCACACCCATTCGCTTATCAGTTGCGGCCATAAGACGGTTATGAATAGTTTCAAATCTCTAAAATCATAATTTATGAATCAATGTCTAATTAATAAATAAAATAAATCAGGATTATTTAATAACAATATACCTTATTAATAAAGGATGGTGCTGGATATGTTATAATTAGGACCAACACACCTGCAAAGGCTGATACACCAAGCAAGTAATACAAAAACGATATAGAAATGATGATTTGTAAAGGATAGGAATAATCTAAAAGACACAAAATATTAGAATAATTTCACGTTGCAAGAGTACAGTCTTCCTCCTCTATAATCACCTCCTATATAATCACAACTCCCATATAATCACATTAATTTTTGAGACAATT